TTCAGGTTCGAGGTTAGAGTTGTTGGAACTCAGTAGCATCGCATCCCATTGCCCATATTTGTAAATGCAGGTGACGTGATCAGCCATTTGCTTCAGCCATTTTACCTCTCTACAAAGATTGATTATGCAGGTCATCATCTGTTTGTGTTTGCACTTACTGTCTTTCTCCAACTGAAGCTCACCTCGCATTTTGGCTGTGGTTGGGTTTTCTAACGACATCGCTCTTGCCCTAGGTGGTGGTCTGCATGAAATTAGGGACGTCTATTGCCTGCGCAATGAGGCAAAATATACTTTTTTTGTGTGCATACCTAAAAGTAGGTGCAAAAGAACATCACATATGCGCCCTCACATGGTCTGCGATGTACTAAATTTCCTTGAGGCTGGGAACTAAAACCACTTAATCATGGCATGCAAACAACCTTATCTTATGTTAGTTAAGTAAAACTTATACGAGGCACGTCTGAAAGCTGGACCATCATGAAAAAGACAAAAATTTAACCATAAATAGCGTGGCATTGGCATTTCTAATGTCGCGAGTTACAAATAACTTGTCGGGTAGCTGGAAAAAGTATCAAGGAGGGGAGAAACTTATGTTTGCTGCACTTTTAACAAATATTGTCCCACTGTTCATGACTTGACTGTTCGGTCCTCTGCTTCACCGCGAAGCAATGTCAGCCATTTTCGATTTAAGTAGTAGATTGGTAGATAGGTTGAAAATAGTGTAATAATTCACTAATATAATGCCTAGATTGATTTTTACACAGTAAGCGAACTCTGTAATATTTTGTCAATTTACTTTGCGTGGCTAGCTCATCACGCTCACTTGGGATTTACTGCAATGTTAAAAATTTTTCTGCAAATCTGATTCATGGTTAAGTTTACCACTAAAAAGTCTGCAAATAAATTGAGGGAGGATTCTTTTTCGAAGAGCTGTTGGTTGTATGGACTTTATTCCACTACTGCACTCCACTAAATTGAGGTTGCATTACCATAGACTTGTTTATTAAAACTCGAATGCCCATTCTGGGAACTCCAAAAAATGCGAAGTGCGCTAAGAGCAATTGCTCCCATAGGTCAAAATATTTGTACTTGGAGCCCTATTATTAGATGCATTTGCTTTTACATCAAATCAGAGACCCTTTCGCGTAAATTCAGGGCGTTAGCGCCATGATTTGATGTGCCCGTCGGCATTCAGGCATAGATGGTTAAGTATTGGTTTTGTTTTCTAAGTAAAATC